ATGTAGGTAAATCATCTTTGCTCATGCATACAGAAATTGCTTTAAATACCGGATTATACAACATGCACCGATGTAAGAAAAATGCTAAGGCAATTTGATTTTCCATAAGAGTTCATAGATGGATTTGAAAAGGTGATAAAAATCACTCTAAAAATATCAAGGATCAAAATCTCTTGAAAATAAATGACACGAATACATAGCTCTTACTTCCGGTACTTTCAATGCGTACCACTTAACCCTCGCAAGAACAATGTTGTGAACTCAAAGGAATCAGATGGGAAGATCAAAGGCCTTAGGGAGGTTTTCAAATTAGGGACTGACAAGAGATTATGATGGGACTGACCATTACTTTGAGGCTGCACAGCAAAACTGCTGAAAAAAACAAACGTGCAAGGGGTGCTGGCAAAAAAAAAAAATAAAAATAAAAATAACATCGAGCAGGTGCCTTATACTATCCAGAGCCTATTTTTGATGGTAAAAAAATTCTTGCGCAAGCTATTGCCCACCGAAAAAAAAAGACTCATGCCCAAGCTAAAGGTGAGAAAAAAAATCATGGTCGAGAAAATTGCCCAACTTCAACCCCATCCCTCTCTCAAAAAAATAATGGTCCGTCCCTTACAGTCACGACACACAGAAATTATGCAATGAGGCAATCGACACTCTTCCGAAAATCTTGGAAACGGTGGCTGGCGCGGGAAAAGGGTATGCAAACCAAGTCGTGATTGTCTTTGTGTTGGCCACTCGACAGTTCTGACTGAAAGAAAAAGTTAATGTTTGTCTTGACTGGTCAGAATAAGTTGCGGGAGTTATTGGAACCAGGAAAGCTCCTAAAAAGTGACTTCATAGAAATTATTGTCCTTAAGCTTTTTCTCAAAATACCTGTGGTAGAAAAAGCTATAAATATATAGTTATTCTATTGTTACATGTAATTCTCAGTCCCGTTCTACAAAGATAGCACTTTGCCTAATAGAGAGAAGCAAAGTTCTTCGTTCTTCGGGACAATTTTCTTCTAACCACTAAAATAAATGCAGCTCTTCCTTGTAGCCTCCTGAACAAAGTAAGCCCATATGGTAACTTTAACAACAACGTTAACTGTGAACGCCGAAAGTAAAATTCATTTTGCGTGGTCATGCTAAGTCATAGTGTATCGACAGAATGTCTCGGAGAATCAAGTTAATTAGGTAACGTCCATGTTCAGAAATGCTTTGCTTGTGCAGCCACAAACGCGCCGCTTCTAAAGGGGACAATTTCGATCCACCTTGCTAACCTACAAATAGAAAGAAATAGTCGGTAATTCTTGAATTTTGTAGACTATTTAGGGTTTTGGCTTGCCCAGCACAAGGTGATCAATTGCAATGCCCAAACGGGTCCTCGTTTGAATGTTTTAAAATTAGATTGTTTCCGTATCATATAAAGTACTCACCACTTTAGTTTAGCCGCTTGATTTGCTGTCAACAGTGGTTTCTAAAGATTCTTGTACCGGGTCATCGAGCATGTCTCTTTGCACAACAGCTAGTAAAACAAGAAAATATGTATGTTATGATTTCATTTGTAATTCTACAACTAAATAGTATGTTTGGAGGAGTGGAGGAAGAGTTTCCTATCGAAGAAAGGGTTTAGAACCTCCGATACACGTTTCATATTAGCTCTTGACAAATCCGCCTTTTCAGTTCATTAAAAAGATTCAGTCCCATAATGTAACTAATTTGTTTCATTTATATGGAAGTCTCCTGCATCTTCACGACTTAGTTTCATTGAAGCTTGGCGAGTTTTGTTTATCTAGAAACTTACCTCCCTGTGAAAGAGAATCAAAATCTTCTTGAGATTGTGAAACTGGTGCAGTAAATGTGCCATACCCTTCTGATAACGATGGTGATTCTGAAAATCCCGTGGACATATTTCCACCTGCGTCGATGAAATTCACCGAGGAGGTGGTAACTGAAGATGTAGGCGATGACAAAATACTTTCATCGCCTCTAAATGTGTCATCGCCAACTGGCGAAGATAAAGTGTACACTGGGATCGCATCTGCTACATCTTCAGGACCCGCCTCTTGGGATGTATCTTCTTGAAGATTGCCTTCCTGAGGACTCTCTACGTTTACTACTTGTGGATCGGCATTACTGGGTGACGAAGGTTCCGCAGGTTCATCTAACACAGCTGGAGTTTTGGGTCCCTCTGCAAATCCTTCGATGTCCGTATGCGAATCGTGATCTTGTGTTCTTTCATTTTCTTCTAGAGACCCTTGGCCAACGTTACTTGCACCAGAAGCTTTATCTATGTCATTTAAAGCCGGATTATCTTGTTCGTTTGACTGATTCGAGTTGTCTGTTATGGCATCCAGTTGGGTGGTGGGCCCCCCATTCTTTGTCTGGAGAACCTTCCCAAGGTTTGTCGCAGGTATTGATTTTTCGGGCTCACTAAAAGTATGCTGGATTGCCAGCGTATCGAGATCTCCCCTCAGTTTAGCATCTTGAATTGAACCTCCCTTAATAGGGCTATCTAATGAAACTGTTTTTTCCGAATCAGGTGGATTGATATTATTTTCCAAATTTGAACCTCCTATCTTTGAATCAGCGCTCTCTGCTGAATCTGGTTGGAATGAATCATCACTCTGGTTTCCCATAATCTGATTCCCCGCAACATTTACCACCGCTTGTTGATCAATGTTTCCTTCTGAGACTGGTTTAGTAGGCTCATCTAAAGAATCTTCAGTTTGGTTGATAAATGGTTTTCCTTCACGTTCTCTCACTTGTTGTCCTTCGGCGCTTCCAACTTTATTCTGATCGATACTTTGCTCAGCCACGTTTTCTTCTTCGTCTTTCTTGGGTTTGCCAGGTGCTTGTTCTGCGCTTTTAGCTCCTTGAGATTCCTTGTTTTCGGTTGGTGTCTGTTCCTCTGTGTTATCGTCATTGGAGGGTTCCTCTCCACTTCCCGAAACTTCAGTTTTCTTTCCTTCGTCATCTGTGATATCGTGAGCATCACTTTCTCCTGTGGCGGATTTTTGAGACTCATCTGCACCGGATTTAGATGCGTCCTTCTCAATCTCGCGTCCCTCATCTTCCAATGTTGAATTCATATCAGAGCTCTTAGGTTCTTCGGATGAAGATTGCGTTTTAAGCTTTGATGAATCATTCTGAGCACTATTTTCTTGTATTTTCTCGTGTTCCAATACAGTGTTGGTATCCACATCGTCTACGTTGGTCTTGGGCTCGACATTCTTCGACTGTTCGTGGTCATGGACAGCCGGTTTATCCTCTTTCTCAGCATTGGGTTGACCATTCCTGGTCTGATCTAGTTGATGCGTGTTTTCTGTTTCAAATGACTGCCCAGCTATTTCATCAAGAGTTCCATTTGCCGACTCTCTTTGTCTCTCCAATGCATCATATTCTCGGTCATCCAGCGGTCGTCCATATATCTCAGCCTCTGGAAACGTTTCATTTCGCCTGTCTGCTGTTGCTGCCCCGTCTGTCCTGTTGCCTGCAGCGGTTGTAACGGCGTCGCTCTGCAAGGGTGGTACATTGAAATGTAATCGTCAGTGAAATTTCTCAATTCTAATTTGAAAATAGAGCACGACAAACGTATGAGCACTGTCCAATTTGGGAAATGATTCTCTGTTAAAACTTAAGAACACTGCCGAACTGACCATGGACGAGGCCCGTAATATTAGGTCTATTAAGGTTACCTTCTCCTGGCCAAAAAACGTATAGCAAAATGTACTGGAGAGATAACTGACTAAATATGCACTCGCAACTGACTGATTCCTGTTCGTGTTTTTCAAGCGCTATTCAGAATCGGAGACTCATAAGCTGCACCAATCAATGACTTTCAGTATAAGGTTTGTAAGCAACATAACGTATTCATTTCTAAATAAACTTTAGCCCTACAAAGTAGCGTGCGCGCAAAATATCGACGATGGTCGGCCAATTTTCATTCTGAAAAGAACTGCAAAAGACAGTGTTTCGTCTGTAGCTAGGATTTGCGCTTTCATTCGTGAGATAATCCTTGCAAACGTTTCAGGAATATCTCAAGTTTTAAAATCGCTCCACCTAAATTACCAAAAACAGAATAGGGTCAGACCACAAACTTAATATGCACTACGAATGCTGCAATTATCACATAAAATATATTTACTGCTTCTGTTGCGCCATTTCCAGAGAAAACACTTTCCATTTCATCGTCGTTCGCTGCGTCAAGAGCCTGATGTAAGAGACCTTCAACTTCATTCACTGACACATTCTTTTCTAGAGAAACTGTTGGAATCTCAACAGACGAATCTTGGACGGTAGGACTTTCAAAAGACTTAGGTTCGGGTACTTCATTTCTAACGTCTCCTTCGTTTTCAGTATTGCCTGCAGCAGTAAAGGCAAAGAATTTTAAAAACTGGAATCTCTTCATGCAGTTTCCTTGTGTTAGCTGTCACAAGTTAGAACTCGTGTCCATGTTCTTTCAGTGCTACTACTTACCGTGAACTGCCATCTGTGATTGTTTCGGAGACAAACTGCTTCCCAGCTTCACCAGATGCTGACCTAGATTGGCCAACAAATCGGGAAGGGATTGTCTCTTTGTCGCTTGGGAATCTTTAATCTGCACGTGCAGCTGGAGCTTGTTGGGTAACTGCACAGGTGCGTGGGTGATACCACTTCGTTTGTTACTATGGTGATGCTCCTCGTCTTTATGATGCTTTTGAATGTGTTGCTTGTGTAGACGGTGATGCTGATGGAGGAGTTGTTGTTGCTTGTGTGAACGGTGATGCTGATGGAGGGGCTGTTTATGGGGATGACGGTGAAAAGTCTTGTGGGGATGGTGGTGTCTATGAAGATGATGTTTGAATGGGTTATGGTAATGATGATGATGATTATGGTGCTTGTTTTTGCCATCGTGGTGATTGTGATGATGGTGACGATGTGGATGATGTTGATGATGGTGATGATGATGTTGGTGGCGATGATGCGGATGATGCGGATGATAGTGGTGGTAGAGATGATGGTGATGACGGTGGAAAATCTTATTTACCAGCTTTTTCTTCAGGTCAACCCCTTTTGCTTTAAAACCTGGGAGCAAAAAATCACACAGTAACGTCAGCGAGTGAAGACATTCAGGACTCATGTGGATAAGGTCTAGTAGCGTGGCTGCTTTAAACTCTTTGACTCGAATCCCTTTTCACTTGAATTTTAAATGCTGCAAACTATTCCAAGGTTCTCCCCCAGCAGCTTTAAACAACATGACGGAAAATATCAGAAACCACCTGGAGTATCTTCTTCGCACGGGGCATGCATAAAATATGCGAACTTATAAAACCAAAGAGCGTAAAGGCAACAATGTTCGAACGGTAACCGACTCTACAGGGCGCAGAAATTATTAAAATGTTCTGCAAGGCAATCTTTTACAAGTCTTCTTCCGCTTTCGCTTTTTGTCGAGCTGCAATAAGTAGCAAATTATTTCTTGAAGAGGATTTTTGTGATCAACACTGGCAAGTACTACCAGCTAACTAAGCGGCATTTATCGCTACAGTTTGGTAAGGGTTTAATCAAGGATGTAGACGGCTGAATTGACCACACAATTATTTTTCCATGTTAAAGGAATGCTGTTTTATCTCACGACAATATAACTAGCTTGGGTTCTCGCTAGATGGTTTGTTTAACATGAGGTCACTCATAAACATACCACTGTCCCTGACATAAATCGATGATTTCAAGTTAAACACCCTACCTTTACCACCACCACTAACGTTATAAATTAGGACGCAAAACACTAGCCCGAAAGCCAAAGCCACTCTCATTTTACCGGCGCTTCAGGCCTTCTTTCAGTTTCAAGTGTTTCTATGTCAATCCTTAGAATTAATCGCCTATTCGCTTATCACGTTGGCATCTCTTGTATTCTTTTAGAAATGCATTCAAAACATGGAATTTAGTTTTAACAATGACTGGTGGAAATTGAAAAACAATAACAGGTAAGACAAGCTTTATCCAAAATAACAGTACTGACAAATCCAGGGTTTTTGAACTTGAGACCCAATTTTTTATTGAAATGGAATATGAATACAATCAGAGATCTCTTTGCTTAGCTATTGCAAAAGCGAGTGTCTTTCTGACCTTTTCTTTTGTACTAAATGACGTGACAAAACATTCAAACAACACCACTGATTAGCCATTAAGCCCACAAGAACAAACGATTGTTCTGATATTTATGTTATTTGCCGGCCTTGGTCGGTCCGTATTGAGAAAAACTGTGCCCGAGGTCTTTAACATGGACATTTCGGAGCGGTCCGTACTCGGGGTCAAGACGGGAAACTCCGGCCGGACCGCTGGAGCGCGCGCGATTCGCCAATCAGATTCAAGGATTTAGGATTCGAGACCGCTGAGAAGCTGGAGAAAAATATAAAATGATTTAATCAATGAAATTGTCATAACTGTTTTGAACCATAGGCTCGGTGGCCCTTCGGGAGACAACCGGTAAATTAATTAAGTTTCGTTTCTCGGCAAATTTTTGCCGAAAGCACCGGAAGAGTTCCTGATTTTATTATCCAATCATTTATTTTAACGTCAGCTGACGTCATCAGGGTACATGACCTTACTCAGAAAAACTGCTGGCTCATCAGATTCCGGATTCAAATAATGACGATGCTTCAATTCTCTGATCCTTCAAGTCCAGTGTCTTGCTGAAAAAGCATTTTTCGTGCCGGAGGGAAGGTACAAAGAACTAACGTACTTTGTCCATGGTTTTCCCCATTATTGTTCAATATTATTTTAATAGCCCCCACTGAAAACAAATATAAAGAAAATCAAAATTCTGTTTTGAACCCACAGGAAACCCAATTTGAGAGAACTCCAGTGTGACAAACCAGGCCACGACAGCCGCGACAGCCACGACAACCTGTTATGGATTTCTTATGAGTTCAAGCTAAGAGCCTCTTACACATTTATCCTCCAGGACAATACCGCCCAAATGCGTTAGTGTTATCATAATCGCGAGTGTTATCATATTTCCGCCGTTATATCCATTATTCGGTTTCAGTATTATCAGTTTTCGCTAATCTTGCGTGCATTAGCGTGCCTTAAGAAATTTGTCATGCTCTGAAAAGGAACTACTAAGGTTGTAAAAATATTTTCATAGCCAAATAAGCCGGAAGGATAAATGAATGCTGAAATTGAAATGCGATGTGTTGGGGGGAAAACATCAATGGCCCTCTCTCTTGCGTAGCTAGCGGCAAGCAAAATAATGCGAAACCGCCAGTGACCAGGGAAATAGTCTTCCTTTGTCAACCCTTCCATCGAGATGTATGCGGTAGTTTTACTGTTGAAAGATTTTTCCGGGTAGATCTTTTGCTAGTCATGCTGTTTTCATATTTTTGTAGATAATCTCGATTGAATCCAACAGGGTTAAAATGTCAAAAGTTAATTAACAAACAACTGATACGAGATGAATGCTGCTATCGCGTGTTTTCCTTTGTTTTGCATAGGTAATACATTTTACTTGAGCTGATATCACGAATTTGAGTTTGTTTAAATTGCATTATTTCTGTTTGTTTATACATTCTGCAATCCCTGCGACTATTAAAATTTGACAGTCTTGTGTGCGTGTGTGTGGCAAAGATGTTTTTGTGCCGATAAGTTTGATCAAACATTCAACATATGACAGGAACGTCCACCAGTTCGATCAAGCGGAGGTCGTTGTATCGGGTGATTATTCTGTGCAAGGCCTTAGAAGCTGTAGAAGTACTGGCGCCAACTTAACTTTGAATGTTGGACTGATAAGGACAAAAGCTAATTACTGATATCATTGGCATTTAACGAATTTAATATCTAACATTGTTTGAAATGTTTTACATGAACATGACTTGTATATGTACAGCTCGTCGATCTGCAGACGAGAGACTTATTTAGTCCCATTTACAGGGTTGAGTAAATATCCAATCTACTAGACAGCTGACTAGAGGAACTGTTGTGCACTCGGCACTCTGAGTTACACTTATTCTTTGAACAACAAAGGCTCAGAGAGATTACCAGGGCACCCAGGTCAGTGGTTCTCACAGCAGGATGGTTATCGGCGGCCAAGTAAAGATCGTGCACAGTGATTTTTCGTTAACACAGCAGTACTAATGAAAAGTACACAAAATATTTTTCCACACACAAATATTGCAGGTTGCTCTTCTTGTTTCTTCACTGTCCTGGGAATTGAAGTCTCACGGACTTCTTCATCTCATTTTCGGCTTGACCTCAATCTACAATAACAAGAGACAGAGTCATTGTCTCTTCACAATATGTGAGATTTTAAAAAGTCACAACATGCCTTACAAATATTTCACTAGGGCTTTCCACAAGTTGCTTGAGAGTTCCCAAAAAGTTCCTCGAGATTTCCCAAAAACGTTGCTCAAAAGTTGCTCCAAAAAAGTCAGAAGTTATCAGTGGCGGATCTAGTTGTCAGTGGCGGATCTTATTTTGGGTAAAAAAAATAAGAAGTCACAGAATGAAGAAAAGCCGACAGGGCAAGTAAAACAAACCACCTCCTCCNCACCACCCTCCTTAGCTCAAGGTCTGGATCCGCCACTGGTTATAGTTCGGGAAAGAGAAAGAAAACAAAAGCAAAACCTTCACCGAGCTCCGAGCTCTCCTGAAAATTATTTCGGTATAAAGAGGGTAAAAGGTCCCTGGAACCTAGATCAGCCTGTTTATTTATCAGTCGTTTAAGTCTGTTTATTCGTTGGCCGGCGCCCCTTAATTCAATAACGGCTTGATGTTACGCAACAAACACTTTTAAGAGTTTGGATGAGAAATTCTCTTTAGTCCTAAATGTGCGTGAAAATAGAGCTATTAATGTAAAAATGAGCTTCACTTACCTCAGCATTATCTTTGTGTTTGTTTGATGCAATTTGGGCGCAAGTTGTGTACGTGTCCAGTTAAGACACGGGTTCGTGGCTTTATACTGGCCGGTTTTTATTGGGTTCAGTTTTTCTGTCTATGAATTGAACGGGTTCGACACGAAATTTTTCAAGGTCGTTGTTCCGGCCACGAAACCCGTCCAAAATGCCCACAGTTTGCGCCCAAATTGCATAAAAGATACAAAGACAACGCTTCGTTGAGGTATAAGTGAACTTTATTTCACTCTATGTCGAATTTCCCTGTCAAAGTCAGTATAACGCACTCGTTACGTAACATTAAATCAACAGTCGTATTCTGAGCTTTGGTCTCCTGTGATTCGTTTGTCCATGACATTCTCCAGGAGAGTTCCTTCTTCGGAGTGAGCTTGGATTCAAGAACGTCTTGGTATTTCTATAGTCAACAGAATCATTTTACATAGCTTCTCAGTTTTCGTGAGAATAAAGCTACATGAAATAATTTACGAAAGCCATTCAATATCCTCGTATTGTTCAAATAGTCTGACATAAGGAGACGACAGAAGTTCACGCCTTTAGTGACTGACATGTATTTTAAACTTTAATTATTATTTTAGTCTGTCTGCATAGCTCAATGTTTGAACTCAATTTGATAGCCAGATGATAGGTTACGTAGATTAGCGGTAATAATTAGACTTCGCAAAAACCGTGCAAATTGAACCTTCGGTGCAAGTAAACACTGCACCCCGCACTAAGCACAGAGAGTAAAATTGCAAACAACATTCCCCTGAAGTCAATCAATAGGCATACGTTTCTTTCATGGTAAAGGCTTCTAAATGTGACGATAGCTATGTGTTTGCCCTCATGCAAGCCTGCTACATTTTAGTTTATTTCATCAGTCCGGAACGTACAACAAAAGAGAAACGACAACAAAAAAATTGACGGGTCCAAAGTTTACCAAGGTCGATCCCTCGCCTTCCGTAATCTAAATATTTGTTTTATATAATGTCGTTTACCAATATATACTAAAGCTCTCCTTCCCTTGCTTTGGCAACTGAAACCGGCAACAGCGATTAGAGAAATTTCAGTCTGTATTTGCACGCTACAATATCAAAGACTGTGAGCAATCCCTCTATTTTTGGCGTATAAAAATATCACTTACAAATCAGTGGCTGCCGACTCGTTTTTGATTTGATAATTCAAAAGAACTTTTACTCTCAAGAGGGTTAAGTGATACAAAAGAATTTTTAACTGGCAGCCGTTTATGAAAAGGGGCTATATAGATCGATGGTGAAACCGCCGCCATCTTGAATTATTTTTGGCGGAAAACCGGAAAGAGAACAAATCTTGTACTCTAAATTTCTGTCTTGATATCGCGTGAGCCATAATATTATATTTAATTAGACTTAATATCGAAACACGGGCATCGCCGTTATTTCCCGTTTAAAAAAAGGCTATAGAACAAAGGAAATATTTCCGTCCATCGTTTCAGTTGGTGAAAACTGTATCGATTTTTTTCCACTGACAGTATATATAATGCGAGCAAGCGAAAATATCTAGGAATTGGAGGACAGTAGTGATCTAAACGAACACACAAAAATCTTTTGTTCAGGTCAGGCACGCCGATATTGTGACGTGAAAGACAATTGAACCGACAGCATATAAAGTTTTCAAACTTCAAAATCCGATGTGGTCTTTTCATTTGGGTTTGTTTGCTTTGGAGGTTGATCGGGAAAAAAGATGATCGTTCAGACGTTATGGAACTGACAAGAATTTGTTACGGATTTCAACGTGCTTTATGGAAATGAACTATTTAATTTGTAAACAAATCACCAACGCAGATGTACTGTTGTGCTGTGTCATAGGAACTCTTGTTCTTGCGCTTGCGTCACTACCGTGTCGCAATCCTTCGCAATGAAGAATTGAATAAAAAAGTGCTTTTCAGTTCGTGCCATTTCGTGCATTTTCCATAAAGTTCTTTCTACACGAAACAAAGTAAAGGAAACAAAGCATTGGTATTTTAGTTCACTCTTTATCTGTTGGTTTGAACTCTAGAACAACTTTATTTATAGTTTCTAATTGTCAACCAGCTTAGATACAGGGCTTACACAACTCAAATTCCAATCTTGACAACTGAGTAACAGTTAACATTTCTGAACGAGTAAATATTTATAGTCAGACTTGCAAATTAATTACAATAGTGTTTTTGGAACTATGCCGAGAATTTTGCGCAACATTTCACAACAACACTTTATTTCCATTAGTTGGTTTGCAGTCGTGTGTAGTAAAAGAAAACTTTTATTTTCGATACATGCGTGACTTATGAAACTGATGAAACTGCAAAGTTATTTTTCACGTGAGCGAGCGAGGAGTTTGGCATCAAAGATATGTCATTGAACTGAAGATGAGATGTAATTATATGGTGATCCTCATTTTGACTCTTTCTGGCCCAGTGGTCACGAGAAATTGACTCTTCTAATTCAGTTAAAGTGGTGTTATGTGGTTCGAGAAGAAGTTTAATTTAGGGAAAATGTGTTTTTTTTCGTCAAATATCGGACATTCACGCTCTTGGTCAAACCTCTTGGTGAAGCATACACGACAAGCATGTACTGTTCCCATACAAAGCATTGACACGTTATCCAATCAGCGTTCGCCCCAATGTCATGGCTGAACACGCACACATAAAACACCTTGAAGTTCGTCTTATAAATGATCCTACGCAGCAAAACGCCGCAGTCACTTAACAAAAGACTGACGCTAACTTGATGTTAACTTGTTTTCGAAACAGCGTTCCAACAATGCGTTGCCAGAAACTAACTTTACTTCTGTTCTTGATTTTTTCGTTCTACTCTTTTGTACTTTCGCATGAACTTCCGAAGCTAGAGCACGATCACTACAGTTTTAAAGTGCTACAACAAGCTGTAAATGGCGACTCGCTTATGCCTGATGATGTTGAAAGACTCCTTTCCAAGCTTCGATTCTCGAACTGTTCCGATACCAGTGAAAAAACGGATTACAGAAAGGTAAAGTACACTTTTGGGCTGTATCATAGATAGCATAAGTACAGTTTTAACCTTGCGGCTTACACAAAGTGTACGGCGCTTTGAAATAGACCTTTTGTACGCGAAATCGTTCCCCGATGGGCAACAAACATCATGCCATCGCTAGATATAATTTTCCTTGTTCCAAAAAGCATGCTTTCGAAACGAAACAGGAGGGACATCAAAATCAACAGCGGGAGACAGCTGACCCTGAAAGATCGCTAGGTATTTACTGCCTAACACGACGACAACACTCACTGCTTCTACAAACACGCGGTCTCTTTTGATTTTGCCTTCACTTTGGTCTTTGTTCTCTCTGTTAGTGCCTTAATTCGTCAGAGATCTACAGTTTCGCTGGATCGTCACCTACAAATCTTCTAAACGCCACACACTTCGCTCAAGTGAGCCCTTTGATTGTTTACTGCCTGCTCCCAACGCCTGAAAAGAACCCTGGTCGATGTGAGGTTTCTCCCAAGAACCCAAGCGAACTTTTCAACTCGTTCGCAAGGAATTTCAGTCAACATGGCGATCAGGGAAATATCACTCACGAGGCGCTGGACCGCATCCTGGAGGAAGTCAACAAGACTCTCGGGCAGTTTTTAACCCAGGAAAAAGTAAGATTAATGAAGAGATTTCAAGGGATCTGAATTTTTTAATCATGTACGAATGATACATATAAAGCTTATGCTTTTAAGCTAATGTTGTTTTAATAATTATTCTTGAAACTTTGGACTCGCTCGTGGGTCGAAATTTTTTTCCCATAACCCTCAGATATATTTTTATCAATATGTGTATCACATGACCCCATAGATATGGGTAATGGCTCGTAATCTTCTTGTGACGTCTATCTATGTCTTCTGTAATTACAATTCGAGTACAGAACGACTCATGGAAGCATCGTCAGTAGTCTTCCTTGTCTCCTGGTTTTCACATTGTTCTTAAGCTTAATTGTTATGCCCCTGTTACGCCCGGAGCAATCACATAAAGCGTTAAAATTTGCAAGTTGCTTTGAAAGTGGTCTGACTTTAAGAGGCGCTTTTGAAATAACTTAATTATTAGCCCTGCTTTGTCTGCGTTTACAATGTATGAACTTGAGGCTGCATTCTGCATCTGTTATTTTAATATTGACAAATTATTGCAAGCGAAACTTGTGGTGCTGCCTGAGTTGGCTTTCTTGTGATTCAGGATTACTGAGCACAAACAACAGCTTCTATATTTATAAGTCTGAGTTATTGTAAGTGTCAGTTTACTGGCATGCCAAGAAGTGATAGATAAAAGATATGTGCTTCTTAAGCTAGAAATAGATAACTGTGGATAACTTGGCTTAGGATAGGGGAGTGGGGTTACGCACTAGCAGGAAACTGGAAGGAAAGTCTTATGGGGGTGGAAGGACAGTCAGTGGGACACTGTATATTTACTCTGCTATGGACTCTACAATGTCGACTTTTAAAACAGTACCTTATCTAAATATATCTACATATCTTTATATTCCCATATTCCAACTCTCTTCATTTATCTATATACTGGCCTACATGCTGTCAATTAAATTATAAAGGCATGAACATCCAAAACCTTAAAATAATGCAACATAAGAGATATTTGTAAACTGAAGTGAAGCTGACTCATTTGTAATCCAGGTACAGAAATATATCATTAATTTACACAGCTGTAGAACATATGCTTTTTGAGTGGGATTTTATTATCAAAATATTATCATTGGTAAATAACCTTTTGTTAAACTTGACAAGTTGTACGATAAATCTGCACTCCTGATTACACTTGCTCAACAAGTTTGTATGTGTATCTGTCATTAATGATGCAATGTCTTAGCCTTGAGAAAGGTTTTAGCACTTTTAGGGTGGGCGTCAGAAAGTTGTAGACAAAGGATCAAGACAGATTTGTGAGGAGGTTTTTAATACTGTCTGTATTAAATTGAAATGCTGAAAGTAGGATCTTCCAGCATCTAAATTTCAAAATTTTCTGGGAGAGGAATGTCCCCAGAACCCCCCTAGGAGGCTCGCGGCTTCAGTGGTCAAAAAGTAGAATACCACGTACTTTCATATTTAGGACGTCTTCTTGAAATATTGTTGACAGCCATGTTGATACTCCTTCATGGGTTCAAATCATTTACTATATGTCAAGATATCCATATTACTAAGGTTGGCAAAATTATAGCTCCTGCTAGGTTTTGAAGATGGGAATTTTTTTTATAGGAGAGCAAACCACAGAATGTCTTGGATTCAACGAAATAAATCTTAAAATTAATATGTTAATGTGACCTGGCAGAAATATGGTGATGAGTCATAAGTTGAACATCTGCAGTCTAAGTAATACAAGACAGTTTTTTTTCTTGCTTTTTAAGATAAAACTGGTAATGATCAGACGCAACAGTTATGTGTACTGTTTTGAACTACGGAAGCATCTGGCCAATCTCTTTCAACCAAAACTTAACTTAATTTTATTTCAACCAATAAATGCTACAGAATACAAAGAGTTGAAATAAGCATTTTCTATGAAAAATGGTGACTTGATTAGGCAATCTGTGTACATACTTTTGTCTCCCAATAACACAAATGATTAGAAATTAAACTTGGCCTAGCAAATGCCACAATGAAAGAAAGTATTTAGTAGACATTTAGTATTCTGCACATAAAGTGCGGCTTGTTGAAATATTTCAACAGCTCTTATCTGAAACACTGCCAAAAGCCCTGCAGTTAAATGTAGGCAGTTAAACTTATTTAATTCTACACCAAAATATACCTGATTTCAATGAAGGTACATACTTGGCATGTCTCTTGCGTATTTCTGATGACTGATTTGAACAACTTTTATGCTAAAAAATATTGGTCATATTATGTCCATGTTTCTTCTTCAATGTCTTTTCAATATCAATGTCTCTACCCAGGGGCAGTAAGCAATTAACTGTGGTCCACATGGAACTAAATGTTTGCAGAGAATTTAAAACAACACCTGCCTGTAAAACCAGTTTGTTAACTGAAGGTATCTACTAAAAGGGAGGTTAGTTAAGGGTGACTTAACCACCCTTGGTACATTTAGGGCTTCGGGGAAGATAAATTGGTTCTACAGTTGCTGGGATACAGACTGAGGAATGTTATGGTGCTCACACCTGATTTCGTTCATGTTTGTTTGAAAATAGAGAACCAAATACCTGTCTCTCATCAAGTGGTCAACTCTTGCCTTACAAGAGAAAAAAAACCTGTTGGTGGACCAAAACAATCCTACAGATATTGCTGTAGAGACTTGCCTTTGGTATAGGATATTTTGGGTAAAATCTTAGCCATATGTAAAGTAGAGGAGGCCGCCAAAGACCTTGTGCATTATGGATCAAAAACTAACTAAAGGAACTTTGGAGACTGTCTCATCCGTCATGGGTCAAAACTCACTAACTCCCTAGGGCGAACAAAACTCATCAATTCGCCAGAGAAACGACAGCTTCAACTTTTGACTTGCAAGTGATCAGGTCATTTACCTGGAAACAATTTGCATTGCCAACTGGTGTCAAGCAGATATTTTTTCGCAGTTTTTTTGAGTTGGAGTTTTTTGAGTTCCCCTTGGCTTCGCCACAGGGAACATTGAGGGTCTCGATCAGGGAAATAAAATTCACTGTTTCCCTTTGGGCCAGTCATTAAGTGCCTAATAATGTATTCTTTTATGTTTTTGTAGTGTTTCTCTGCTGAAAGCATCTTTGAGGAGCTTGAGGAGGAACATCATGAGGAAGAAGAGGGACATGGTCATGAGGAAGGACATGATCACAGAGAAGAGGAAAAGGCTCTTAATCAGGAAGAGTTTGAACAGGCCTGTGCTAGCATTGTACTACATCTAGTGCAAGGATTCTGTATTGAGGAAGGACATGGGCATAATGAGACGGAGTCCTCTCTGCCCTCAAGAGAATTCTTTATCAAAGATCTTTTCAAGGATAAAAAGCATCTATCTGAAGAGGACTTGGAAGAAATTTTGAAAATTCTTGGCATTGGTAATGCTGCGGAATCTCATGAGGGCGACAGTCATGATGACCATGATCACAGACGCAGAAGGTCAGCTGGGTCAAACTTGCTGCGGCAGCGTGGATCAGGGGTGCCTCACAGCGTCCATCGTCGTGCAGTTGATGATCATGGTCATGGTGAAACCAATGGTGCAAGTGGCAGTGTAAGTTATGATGGAGAATAATTTACCTGGTAACAGTTAATGATGAATAGACTTTACTGACTGGATTTTTACACACCAGAATCGCAGAGGTAAAAGTAAGCACCTTGTTTTACCTAACTAAGAGACAGCCGCTCAGTTTGTTAAAAAAGTATATGACATACTTTTTCAAGGGAAAAATAAAAATAAAATACATGATTACATTTGCCATTAAATTTTCAGTGTTATTCTCTGGATGACATGCTGACAGTTTTTGACGTTGACCACTCAGTCGGTGCAGACACGTTTGACTTCAAGGAACTTTGCCCTGCATTTATTCAACAAGTCAAAAGTGGAGCTTGCAAAGAATCAGGCAAAACAGAAACTGAAGTAGACAAGGACATGGGAAAAAGTAAGTTCAACTTGTTGATGCAGAAAGGGGGGAAGGTCCCTCAAAATATATGTGTAGACATCTCACAGAATTTGGTTGTGTACTACAGTATTTGCCCAAAAATTCCAGAAATTTTTATCAGAACGTAAATGGGAAGACAGAAATGTTTTGTCTTGACCAAGCAGAAAATTTCTGAAATAAATTAATGGGGTGTCTTGAAAGGTAGTCTAAAATTTCCAACTGAAATATCTGAATGGAAAATGTGCTTATAATACTATTTGCAATTCTTCACCAGTTCCAGCTGCCATCTTGGAATTATGATCAGGTTGAACTCATCTTAGGCTCTTGGTAATTTGGGGGTTGTTAAGTTAAAGGTAAATGGCCAATCTGAACAGAACTTACCATCAGGGATTTGTGGTTACCATTTGCACAAACTGTTGACGAACCTGTATCTCCGCGTAAATGGCAAACAAACTTTGGGTCAAATTTTTAACATCTTTCCATCTTGAATTTTCTTGTGCCATGGCTGAATGGAGACAAAATTTCTTTCTTAAGACTAGTAAAGCCACTGGCTCTAAAAATATCTCTCTATTCCTCAGATTTAACATTTTCTAGTCCATTTAAAGCTTTCAGGCGAATCCAAATGTAGACATGTTCACACACTCTCTGGGAATCAAGAAAATTGCCTGCCCCACGAACCAGGGGTGCTTAGCTGTTAATTATTCAGCTTGTTGTTGTATCAACAGTTTGGGGTTATGGTTTTCTCGCTGTGACCATTATCAGCCTCACTTCTCTGGTGGGCGTGGCTACTATTCCTTTTTTTGGAAAGAAAATGTACAAGAAAATCCTGGCCACATTGGTTGCACTTGCTGTGGGAACACTTGCAGGAGACAGTTTACTTCATCTTTTGCCACATGTATGGACAAGTTTGTTATAGAATATTTGTATAGGTAATCATACGGTTTCGAGTTCAATTTGGAATTAATTTTTACGAGTGAGGTTTTCAAAAAGCTGAAATTGCACAAGCCGCTTCGGCGAGTGYAATTTCAGCTTTTTGAAAAACTCACAAGTGCAAATTAATTCCAAATTGAACGAGAAAAACTGTATGATTACTTATTAATAATATAAACATGAAAAAATTCGCACGGAGGAAGTGCCGGAAGATCTTTCTTGAAGCCATTTCTTTCTCATTTGAGAAAACTTTTTTCAAAGTTTCAGCACAAAATTTTCATCATCATTTTACGCGATATCATTTTCTTAGGAAAGTTGCTATTTTCTCTCAGTCAATCATTATCCAGAATTTCAATGTGTAATTTGCACTGGTGTTACACTTTTTGAACTGATGTTACACTTTTTGCATTGGTGTTACACTTGAACTGCACTGCTCTTAGCCAATCAGAATCGAGTAATTTTTTCATGTGTATTATTAATTGTGTTATAAATTATTGTTTGGTTGAATTTTTTACATACACAAGGTAATTGTATTGTAAACATGTATACTAAACATGTTTGTGTCAATAAAAAACAAAACAAAACAGCAATAGAAAAACAGAATTTCTTCAGAAGAAATGAATCTTGTCTATTGTCTCTAGTAATACTTGGTACTTAACTTGACTGCTGATTGTTGCCTTGCGCCAATCTCAAGACTTGTTTGTTTTCATGCAGGCGTTTGGGCTTCATGCACATGAAGACGAGGGTGGTGCTCATGGCCATGACAGTCATGAAGAAGAAGATAACAGTTTTATTTTTAAGGCATTGGTTGTGTTGGCATCTATTTATGGATTCTTTCTGTTTGAAACTGTGATGCATTTGGGTTTGAAGAGCAAGATTGGTGAACATGGTGGCCACAGTCACATTGATGTTGAGGTCAGTTCATTATTGCTGTGATGATTTGATTTAGTGCCTTAGACATTTACTTTACTTTACTTTGGGAGTGCCAAGGCAGGTTTTTATTACAGGTGGGGTACTTATTGGGAACTGATTTTTATTTCCTTATTGATACAGTTGTAAAAGTGTACACGACAGTTCAAATTGTTATTTATGGTTAGTGGTATTGTTGGGCGAGGATCAGAGTGTTTCGGCAAGAAAGGAAGCAGAATGAACTGATGAATACATGTGAATGTATGCGATACACGCATGAATACACGTGTTTGTGCTGTTCCTATCATGCTGAAACAATTTTAGCTGCAGTCAAGCTACCATTACCCGTAATTCCTTTCAACGTTGTAACCTACTCTTATATGCTTTTGTAAGACAATTGATGTATACATCTAAGCAAGTGAATCTGTAAAACAAAACTCAGAGTGATCTTTCATTTACTCCTGCTAATTTGATACAGTCAGTGCTGTCACCAAATTTGATGCCTCTGTCTTGGAACTTTTGCAATGATGAGAGTGCTCATTAGTTAAGGGTCTTGGTTTCTTTAAAGCCTGTTCAAATGGAACTGATTCCCACTCAGACTTAAGGCACTTTGTTGTCCAATATAACTTTATACTTCACTAAACAGAGAGTCAATATGTTTCATGACTGGTGATGTTGGTTTTGCAAGTGGCGCTGTTGTTATTTAAGAAACGTGCCTCCAAGTTTAGAGTGACAAAAAAAAATTGTGATCATTTTAGGAGTGGTTTCGCTAAGGGCCATGAGCCAGGCAAATTGACCAACTGGGAGGATGATTTTTTTTGCCTGGTTTGACCATGAACAGGAAAGTTTTTCTTATAACGAAATTCTTTTCAACAAGTTTTGCTGGCCTGTAAAAAGCAGTTACCCTCCTGCTGGAAACGTTAATGAAATGCCTGTTTTAGGCAAGGTTTAACTGCTCACCAATTAATACAGAAATTGTCATTTCTTCTTTAAATAGAATATAAGTATGGTTTTGTTTAACATAACAAAAAGAATCTATTAGTGCCCTATTATTGTTCAGCAGCATTAGTCATTTTCGAACAAAAGCCAAATAAATGAAATACTTCCTTTGATTGACAGTTATTTCCTTGTAGCACAATGACTTATTAAAAAGTTATCTAATGATGAACATTTACATTATTGTGACGACTTCCTTACCTGCTGAGATCACCAGCAAGGAATCGATGGGTTGGGAGAACATTAAGATATTGGGACCAGGCTGAAATTTTGGTTCCCAGACATTTGTCATTAAACCTGACCCTAAGTTAACTTTCTGTTTTCTTGCCAATGCAAATAATAACATTTCCAACCCACACAACCTCTTGCTAGTTTATAAACTTACGATACGTGATAAAGGACGGATTGTTAACTACACAGCCATAGGCCGAGCACGGTTCTTGCTCTGCACGGGATTTATTTTTTTCTTTAGTTTTGTTGGTGACCAGACCCAAACTTCTGCTCAGCCAAATCGTCAGTGGGACTTTGAAGCATGCAACCTGTGATGTTTATTTGCCAAAAGCTGTTGAAACATTAATACACGGAAAATGTTTTGGATATTGTTTTCTTTATTGTATGTAAAATATGTTTTCTTTTGGTTTTATTGAAGGGTTTTATTCAAAGGGAATATTAAATACACTAAAAATAGGTGTTACATCAGCCATGGAATGTGCTGATGCTGCAGCTTTTACTTTCGCTAGGTGACAAATATGATCTTGCTTACTTCGCAAGTTTATTTCGGCAGAAGCAACGGTCATTAATTTATTTGCAATTTTGCAAGTATTTCTTGTGGTTTTAGACAACTGAAGTGAATTCTTTGGCTGTATCATCGAAGCGAGTTAAAAGATTTGAAGGAAAATTAAATATTTGCTGAGATAAACAAGAGCATGCCAGAACTTGCAGCGTTTATGTCAATGCTAGGGGAAAAAACACAACCCTTCTAAAATTAGCCGTGGATAGCGTAAACCGCGGATTGTGTGACTCGCATGCCTATTTCACTTGTCCTTTACTCATAGCACAAACAAATTAAATGTTGACTTTTATGGAAGAAAGCTGTTTATTAATAGCGTCATTAATAGCGGGATACTCGTTTCCTTTTTGTGTAATTTATGGGCATGTCCTGAGCGAACTTCCAGATTAAGACCATTATGTCATCATAGATTTTACAAAGGCTAAGAGCGATGGTGCAATAATACAGTTTTTGTTGATCAAGTGATGTGGTGTCTACAGTAATCAATGAAACATCAAGGACTGCTTTGGAATGTGCACTGCGTCGCGACTGTAGTGCTAGGAAAACAGTTGAATTTTAAAAGTGCAGTTGTAAGATCTAAAAGATCTTCTTGTTTATGTTGGTTTTGAAAAGCTCTTACTATTTTATATATCCAGATACTGATTGAAAGTAGAGTTTGTATTCAATGTATGGATGTTACAACTAAATAAAATGTTCTATTCTTGCATGGCAGACAAAGAGCATTTCTTATGAGAGAATATTAGCTGGTAAAATGCTGGTTTTTTTTGTCTGGCTATTTGCATTGTCCTAATGGATTTAATAATAGAATTGATCGATGTTGCTCAAATTATGGCGTGTATGCTTCACTAAGCAAATGTAAAGTCAAGCGGGCAGTGTATGCTCTCTTACAAGAACTAGAAACATTCTTTTGCATGCGTCAATTACATGTAGATCACACACCTCATTGAAATCAAAGTGCAACATAAATTATTGTCAAAACTAGTCATTTATGAATGCTCAAACAAATAATGAAGTATTACATTCACCATGTGGAAATTTTCTGTCTAACTTCTACATTATTCGAAATGAAACTTTATGCAAATTTGACTGCTCCATTGGGCTTTCCAAGATCAAAACAATTTTATGCATTCCACATTCCAAGTTTGAAATAATAACAGTTGTCTTCATTTTGTTTATTAAACTTAAGATTCCAAAATTCTCTGGCCCTAATCCTCTGCAAACATTAACACAAACACACTTGCAAGTAAATTTATTTTAATTGATGAATTATTATTATGCTATATAATAAAATGTTTGGGCTACAAGCTCTACAGTTCATGTAGAGTTGATGATGTTCTTTATTCACTTTACCTGTTTGCTTGATAATCTATGGATTATCCAAGGAGAAGAAGCATGGTGATCAATTTTATTAGTAGTTCAATATTGTTGCAATAGTTGTACTGGCTGTTAGTTTAAAATCTGATAGAAACTTAAATGTTTTGGGGTACGTTTTTTGTTTGACAGCTCCCTGGTCCTTCCAGTCGACACATGAGCTTCAAAAAGCAGAGGAGGTGTTCTAAGTTTGAACATCATGAAGGTGCCCCTCCTGTTGCTAAAAGTGATGAAAAACCACCCATGGAAAATGGTGACATTGTTTTGACAAACGTGGTAAGTGGAATCTCCTCTCCATTTTTTGCCCTTGGCTTGTCAGTGTGTTTTATTGTTTTTGACGTGGGCAGGGGATCAGGGGACTGCAGGGGTGCATATTTAGAACATCTACATTTGCTGCTCTTAGCCTGGTTGGTCACCAGTAGCACATATAACTGTGTAGGTTAGTCTAACCTGGAAGTTTCTGGTGCGAGGCTGAATACAGTACTGATCAGAAGAAATCTAACAGGGAACGCTTGACAGAATGCGAACTGTTTCCGTTCCACACATGTTCCCATTCCCATTCTGTATCTGTTCTATATCCGTTCCGTATCCATTCCGTATGCATTCCGTATCCGTTCCGTATCCGTTCCGTATCCGTTCCGTATCCGTTCCGTATCCATTCCCTATCTGTTCCGTATCCGTTCCGTATCCGTTCCGTATCCATTCTCTATCTGTTCTGTGCTGTTCCGTTAATGTTCTCTTAGTGTTCGATTGGCAAGCGTTCTGGGAACTCGTTCAGAAGAACAAGGTTTCCAAGAACTCAGTGGTGCACAGTACTGACAAAGAGCCGAAGCGAGCATTTTGTGATACTTTTAGTGATGTTATTAACGTTATCGTTGCTGATTCTTCTGCAAAGTTGGGGAACAATACCATAGTAAAGGTCAACCAAGACATCGATGTTTTGTTTTGTTTCTCTTCACGAGGAAACCTTTCAATCCAAGTCTAACTCGACTTGTCCATCCATTACCTTATTTGGACATAACTTGGGCTTGTTGACAATAATAAAATGGCCGCAATGAACAGGAAAGCAAGGAAGATGCTTGCTAAGTGCGTGTAAAAAGAAAAAAAGAGACATAACATGATTCATTTTGTAATTTTCTCAAGATCGCCTTTCTGGACAAAAATTGGACGAACGTGTATTTAAAGTTGCATTGTTTCCAAATCCTTGGTAAGCACTCTGATAGCGTAACTTACTAGCATGTGTTCTGAAGATGAACCCTTTTGAAACCCGGTTTCACCCAAATTGCCATGTTTCATAAGACGTGTTTTCGTATGGAGTGTCACAAATGCTTTTTCCATTTTTGCGATTCATAACGGTTCCATATCCGTTCCATTTCCGTTTGGTATCCGTTCTGTATCCATTCTGTTCCCGTTCCGTTCGCGTTCTCATACCTGTTCTGTATCCATTCTATACCCGTTCACAAACATATCCCTGTTAGGTTTCTTCTGATTGGTACCGTAATGAACCCTGAAAGTAAAAGTGATTTAATAACAAATTTGAAGTTAAAGTAGCTTGTTGTGATAAAATAGTTAAATTTGTAAATAACATAATAAATGTATAAAATATGTTTATTTGGACACAAATTATGTTCAAGTATTCTGTTCTATGTAAGAATTAGACAGACTCAAATTCAGTCTAAAATTGGAAAAAACCCGACCCTTCAGCTTTGTGTCAGTTCTGCATAAAATATTGTTACTAGCAGAAATTCCTATTAATGACAAACATTACACAATCTATGAACTATGATGTTATTATATGGCTGTGGCTCACAAGGACTGGGAACTACTGAATTCATGAATTTGATTGGCTGAAATCGATATTGAAAGCGGTCTAGATTTTCCCATCTAGACCAGTATTGTTTGCAATTAAAAAGTTGCAGACTAAAATGCAAAAATATTGACTATTTTCTTCTAGCAATATTTATTTATGGAAGGGCCAAAATGCCTGATGAGAAAAAAAGTAAAGAGGATGAGAAAACTTTGGCAGAATTCAGCTCTTTGCTGTTTGCAAGCAAAATGTCAGTTAGTACAAACCAGTTACATTAAACAAAATAAATTGTTCTTGTTTGCCACATAATAAACATCTTATTAACCGAGCTTAGTCGGTCTGGAGAATCTTGACCTTGGTCGTGTGTACAGATCTCACTGCATTCGGTCTGTACTCACGACCTCGGTCAAGATTCTCCCATACAGACCTCCTGCTTGGTTAATAAGAGCTAAATATTAAATGTTCATCTTCTGTTGCTTAAGGAAGGTCCTATGGGAAATTATAACTCCAGTCCGACATGTACATTTCATTCTCACTGTGTCTATGAACATGTTTCCAGTACAGATACTGAAGGGGGTGAATGTGAGGTAATGTAGCATAAAATAATATCAACTGAAGCTTCTTGCAATATTAACAATAACCGGACTGTTCTTTTCTATCTAAGGCTGCAACTAAGTCTAAATACTGCACATTAATTATGTTCAGGAATGTGTGATTTTAATTGATGAAATTTCTTAATGTTAAGAAACTGAATTGTAATAGCTTTAAATACAGTGGGACCTTGTTAATATGGTCACCAACGGGCCATGGGCATATTAACAGAGTTGTTGTGTTAACAGGTAGGGTCAAATTTCATGACTGGTCTAAATTGAGTGACACTTTAACAGATATATCACAATTGCACTTCTAAACAGCTTTTCTTTAAGAGGCATTGGAATGCAGATGTATATATTAAAAAAAAAAAAAAAAATGAAATTTCAGCCGCTACATACACTATTAACAATGGAAAGATGAACATAATATTGGATTGAGTGGCGATATAAACGGGGTAAAATTATAAAGGATTAATGTACAGTTTGGGATTTCGGAATGTGGCCATATTAACGGGATGGCCACATTAACAGGGTTTTCTTATAAGAAAATGTTTGCAATGGGCTTTTCACTGGGACAAAAAAAGGTTGAAGCAAGAAAATTAACGTAAGTAGAGTAACATGACATTTTGACGACTTCATGTCATCATTGTCAATGGATAAATTAAAAATAATGGCAAGGCATATTCCGTGATCCGTAAACATTTCAGGGTCAAGCATGGCCTAATACCTGACAACTCAATCAAGAACTTTAAAGTCATAAAGAAATGCCATGGCAAACGTGAATGTTTGATTTTTAAATGCTGTTGATTAAGAACGAAAGACCAAAACTGAACATGCAAGCAGATCATACCACGTTTACTAATTTATTTTCTCACATCCTAAGTACTATAAATATGCCTTGCCATTATTTGTAATTCATTCATTTGACAATGATGACATGAAGTCATCGAAACATCATGTTACATAACTAATGTTAATTTTCTCGTATAAATGTTTTTCAAAATCATTTTTTATTACAAAAAAACATGGCCGTAATAATGAGGTGATTGTATTAAGGAGGTAACCATAAGACGGGGCTCCACTGTACCATGTTTGCAGTAAAGCTTGTACAGAAACAAAAATTGTAAAATAATGAAAGGAACAAAACTAATGAATAGATTGTAAAGGTTGTTTTGAACTGTAATGATACTATTTTAATTTATAATATGTAAACGGAATAATCAAAATCAACATTATTGTTTTCAAATGTTGTTTTTAAAATAACTTAAACTTACCTTTCCTTTTCCTTTCTTTATTTATTCAACTTATACCAACTGTGTATGGCTTAGAGTGAATAATTATGAGCAATGCATTTCCAATTTAACTACTTACGCCTAGAGCAGAGTACTTGAATCACCACTTCTCTCATCATAGCACTGCTTTATGGAATTCTCTGCTTCAATATAACTTTCTGGGGGTTTTCAAAAAGAAGATCAAAGCCCAGTTTTCATCTTTGAGTGCCCACATGGCAATCATGTAAACCAGTTGATTTTTTTTTGCTTATATCAGCATATTTTGTAGTATGTAACTGATAATTTTGTGTATATCTTTTGTTTATTAATATTCATATAAATAATATCATGGGTGAGAAATTACTCCTTTTTTGTGCAAAATTTCAGCATTGATATACAATTTCAAAAATGATTTGAATTTCCATGGCAACATTTAGTGTGAAATTTGTCAATACAATAAACAAGTCAAAAGTCCACAATTGTAGGTGTAATTTGTCATCCATAACATTAAAAAGTAATTATAATAATAGAATACTTGAATTGCAGCTTACTCATGAAATTAAGAAATAATTTCACTTGCATTCTGTCAAAATTGCGATAATTTCCCTCACATAAAGGCTCAGAAAATTATGAGAATTTTGACAAAATGTGCATGAAATTATTTTCCAATTTCACTCATAACCAGTGGATTACCCATATCAGTCTAGACAGATGGCTGTCAACCAATTTGTTGTACAAACATTAGACATCCAGCCAGGTCTCGTGTATAAAATGGAGAAAAAGTGGTAACTGGTACATTCTCTATTGTGTCTAACTTGACTGTGTAATTCAATTTTGTCTCAACTTTGAGCAGAATGCCAAAAGTGACTTAGAGGATGGCCATGCAGCTATAGTTCCTCAAGATACAACAGTCAAACCAAAGAGATCCCTTAAACAGAGCTTGTCTCGTCGCTCGGTGTTCAGTGATGAGGAGGGAATAAAGAAACCCCTAAAGAAGATTTCAGCGGTGGCTTGGATGATTATAATAGGCGACACTCTTCATAACATAAGTGATGGCTTAGCCATTGGTGCAGCCTTCTCTGAAGGGGGATCGTCCGGTGTATCTGGAGGAATAAGTACATCTATCGCGGTGTTTTGCCATGAGTTGCCTCATGAACTTGGTAAGAATTTCAACTGTTTGTAAATTATGAACTTTCCCAATCCAGAAGTGAAAGAAACGTCTTGAATTAAGCAAGACCTTGAAAATCCTTGAAAGGTAGATTCTGGACCTGAATTGTAGGAGATAGGGGCAGCACAATGATTAGTGTGATAATCTGCAGATTAAACTGGGTTTGAGTATTTACCTAGTTTTATTATATGTCTGTCTCACAAGGACTGGTAACTACTGAATTCATGAATTTGATTGGCTGAAATTGATATTGACAGCAGTCAAGATTTTCCCATCAAGACCGGGTACATTTTGCAGTGAAAATGTTACAGAATAAAATACAGATTAAGTATTGACTATTTTCTTCTAAAAGTGTTAGTGGAAGTGACAAAAAGACTGATGAGGAAAAAGGACAAGAAAACTTTGGTAGATTTAAGTTCAGCTCATCGCCATTCGCAAGCAAAATGTCAGCTAGTACAAACCAGTTACATTAAAGGAATTAATTTTTTTTATTATTAACTGAGCTTAGTCGGTCTGTATGGGAGAATCTTGAGCTAAATAGAATATGGACAGGTATTCCATGTTTTCTTGGAAAATAATACATGCCTAGTCTAAAAAAACTGCCAAGTAGACGCACAAGCAGAATACAAGACTAGTGCATTCAGCAGGTTTTCTAGACCTCAAAAATGCGTATTTTTTTTGGAAAACATAGGAACACCGTCGTCTTTATGGTTTAGAATTGCCATATACCTTGTTGCTTCATAGCACGGAAACTGGATAAACTTCAGCCATGTATGCCTGTGTCCCTAATGTGACTTATTAATCGTTTAAGGTGAATTAAATCCTTGGGTTCTGTTTGCAGGAGATTTTGCTGTCCTGCTTTCAGCTGGAATGTCTGTGAAAATGGCATTGTTGGCAAACTTGCTGTCAGCCATGTCATGCTACATTGGCTTAATCATCGGCATCTTTGTTGGGCAACAGGCCGATGTCCGGTTCTGGATCTTTGCTATTGCTGCCGGCATGTTTCTTTATGTAGCTTTGGTTGACATGGTAAGAAATCCTCTGAACTGTGTTAGTCATACCACCAAAATACTAATTTCCATGTTAATATTCAAGGTCATACATGTATGATCATGCGGATATTGAAAACCTTTTTAATTCTTCATATTTTCAAATGCTGTTTATGATTTGAAGCCAGACATTATTTCACCAGACATTATTTCAGTCAACATAAAGAGGTTTCGACAAGTTTCATGTTGAATATATGAATGAAAATGTTTGTCGGAAGAGTGGAAGTTACACAAGATTTGATTCCCAACTAAAGTTCAAGACTAAAATAGCTCTGAGTGTTAGGAGCCACCTCCTGTCACAAAATGCTGGTTGGGAGGGTGGGGGCAGGAGAGAACATCCAATATGAGAGGGAACAGAAATACTCCTAGTCAGTTAATACTACAGAAATTGGGACAAGCTTAGGAAGTATGGATTAGATGGCCTGAAGCAGACTTAACTGTACTCAAACAACACAAACCCAATGTTTAAACAAGGGTGCGACTTTTATGTGAGCACTTACTGTGCCTTTCGGTAACATACGGACTCTAAAATTCAAAGCTCAATCAACAAATGCGTTTTTCGTTATGTCAATCAAATGTTCGGCGACTCCTCCCAGTCTCCGACTACTGCCGAACATTGTTTCATTGTCTGAACTGTGCTCAACGATTTGATTAACGCGCACTTGGCAGTAGTCAGAAGCTGGGAGGAGCCGCCAAGCATTTGATTGACGGTAGCAAAAAATGGATTTGTTGGTTGAGCTTTAAATTTTAGAGTCTGCATGTTATTGAAAGGCGCACTAAGGTGTGTCATCATTTGGAGGGTTCTTTGCCAGGTTTGACTGTGACACACTGGTATTTTTAATAATATAATTGTCTTGTTTGTTTTTGTCAAGCTCCCTGATTTGATGCACAGTGAGAGTTTACAGACAGACCCAGTGGTGACATTTGCTTGCCAAAACTTTGGTTTGCTGCTAGGTATCTGCATCATGTTGATAATAGCCTTGTATGAAGAGGATTTAATGGCTGTTAACTGGTGAGAACTCGGAAGAGATTCGAATCTTCTAGCAAGAACAGACCAAGATTTTTTTTTTTACCAGAACATAACTTGACTTTAAGCATTTGAGCCGTGGTCCACTTTTATTTTTGGGGTACTTTTCCTCTAAAAAAAAAAACTTATTTTGAGAATTGGTTTTCATTCTTTTTGCCACTTTTACCACTCTTTTACTTACAATTAAGCTGCATTGAAGACATAAACTTGCACTGCTGTTTAATATAATTGTTATTTTTGTAATTACATGGATTTATTGAGGCGCTACGGAAAGCACCAGCACAGGCTCATCATCTTCTGGTTGTGTGGGTCTGAATTATTTCATAAAATTTATTTTTGAGAATACAAGGTCTTTATTTTTGTGTTTGCTGTTTTGTGCTTTTTGGTAAGCTATTTTGTGAGCCAAGAAAATAGCTAAATACTGTAGGGACGTTGTATTTTATTTTACTGCATCATATTTTACTTAACTGCATCATATTTTACTTTACTGCATCATATTTTACTTTACTGCATCATATTTTACTTTACTGCTCTTTGTTTGATGAGCAATTTTCAGTTTTAAGTTTGTACCACTCATGCAAATGAAAATTGTTTTTCATGTGATCACAACCAGACAAACAGAAGGGCAAGGGTATCTCTCTGTTATCATACATGTCCAGTTGAACCTTACTTAGGTGTCTTTGCCCGTTTGTAGAAGTTCTACCAAGATAACATTTATATCAAGTAATTTTTGATTACGTCCAGTACTGACTATGGGAATGCTGGAATGATCAAAATAATTACGAGCATGTTTGACTGTGAAATTTGATAGTTTGTAAAGAGCAGTGGGGAATCTTTTATGAGCGTTTGCATGGACGGCTGCTTACTCCTTTTTCATAAGATATTAACCTGATATTTGTAGGTGAGGGTGGAACATATTTTAAAATGTGTAACTTATGGTGAACAGATGTAATACCTGTTGTTTATTAACAGGTAAAGGGGGTAAAGGGCTTAAGGACAGTTACATGTATTAAATGACACTCAAACAAACAGTTGGTACTTATGTTTTAGATCTTCATCAAATCAAGAGTATTCTTCAGTTAGCTTTTTAATATGGACCGTTATAGTTATTTAATGCTTAGTTTATCGTAGATTTTAGTATTTTATTATATGGTAATAGAAGTATTTAACAGTAGAGTGATCTTAAACATCTCTGTAATATTCACGAATAAAGTAAAATGTTTATTAATCCAAGTTATTCTTTTATGGGAGTTGTGGTGTCTTAATGATCAGTGCGTTGAACTCCAGATTAAGTGGCTGTCAACAGGCCATTTTCAAGGTATAAAACTTCCAATTTTGGTCTGAGGCTTGGGAGAATAAAACAAAAGAAATTGAATCAAGGTTGAGGGATGAAAAATTAATTTGCTTTGTTTTGTTCCGCCAAGCCTTGTAGCCAGGTTAAAATTAGTATAGTGCAAATGGCCTACTGAACACTTGTTGGGGTCTTTATATTGTGGTCCCTTGTCCTTGCAGAGCAGTGCCTCTCTACACCCATGGTACCAGTTTGAGGTTGGGGGGGGGGGGGGGGGGAGGGGCGTTGGCAATAACCAGAAAAACAAATTCCCACATAAGGAAAAAATGAAGTGAACAACGCAAAAGACACTGATATGGAGTAAAT